TTAAACGTAATAAAATAAGTAATTAGTGTGATCTTTGAATTTGTTTTACACTTAAAAGTTGCTTAATTTGTGGTTCAACATCTGAAACACATAAAAGTAAGTTATTTTCTAGTGATAACAAAYGATTTTTGTACTTCGTTTTTTGTTGTCACCATGGATGAAAATCCTTTTTCGCATAAATAAGAAGTAGCGAACGGAATCAAAATTTTCAATGCCTCTGTTACCAAACTTTTATATTCATTTTTCCGGGCAATCCAAAACTTATTCAAATTTTGAGATTCAAATTGTAGCTGTATATACCTATAATGTTTTATCAGCTGATAATTCTATTAGTTGGTTATGAGTTTCAACTGGTAATTTGGCAACTGCAACAATATTTTCATCAAATGGATTAAGAACCCATCTATTTGAGAAGTCATTGTCGTTACATGGGAAATATTCGAGGAATTGAATTTTCAATTCTCTTAAATGTGTTTTCATGGTATCCAAAACACGATCAAGAATAGGGCTTTTTAAGTTTACATTTTTTTCAATGTAATTTGATGTTAAATCAAACGCATCAAAATTTCGTTTTTCGAGACGAATGATCCAAATACCAAGTTTTTTGATAAAAGCATTAACTTTATCTGACATTATTAGAATGTTCTTTTCACGGCCTTGTAAGCTTATATTCAAATGTGAAAATATATCACTCAAATAAGCTAAAAATAGTAATGTCTCATTATCTTGGAAAAAAGTTAAAAATGTGCTATTTCGATTTTTAAAATATATTTTTAATTCATTTCACAACTCAAAAATCCGCGTTAAAACTTTTCCCCGTGACAACCACCTAACTTCGGTATAGAAAAGCAGTGACTTGCGCTTGGAGCCCATTTCTTCACATAGTGTGGAAAACAATCTGCACTGCAGCGGTCGACTCTTAATATAATTTACTATTTTTACAGCTTCAGATAACACATTTTTAAAATTATCTGTCATTTTTTTTTGCGACAAGTGCATGCCTGTGAAGAAAACAGTGTGTCCATTCAATATGTGGCATTAATTCTTTTAATTTTAGTATCAAACCACTATTTTTCCCTGTTATTGCTCTTGCGCCATCAGAACACACTGAAATACATTTGTTCCAGTCCAAATTTTCATTTTTTGTTGATTCATTAAATAATTCAATAAGACCTTGTCCAGTAGCATGGTCTGGTATTGATTTGYAGAAAAGCATATTTTCTTTAATTGTCCCATCACATTCGTATCGAACAAAACATAAAAATTGTGCCATGTTTGTTACGTCTGTTGACTCGTCAAACTGAATGGAWAAATACTCACTTGATTTTAAATTTTGTACTATTTGATTGTGCACATCAGTTGACATTTCATTAATTCGTCTTGATATTGTGTCATTTGAAAGTGGAATAGTTTTTAATTTGTTTGCCTGTTCTGTACCTATCATAATATTGACCATATCAATAGCAGCGGGTAGAATGAGGTTCTCAGCAATCGTGTGTGGCTTTGATTCCCTAGCTACCCTAAGTGCTACTAAATATGATGCTTCAAGTGTTGCGGTGTTATTCTGACTTGGTTTAAGAATACAAGTTTGTTGATTTTTAAAAA